ACTCAGGCAAAACCAGAGCCTTTGTGATAAAGCTCAATAAATGCCTTGTCCTGTGTTGTAGAAATAGCAATGGAGATCATCAAAAAGACAGCAGTTTATGGAAGTTTATGGAAGACCATGTACCCACTTATAAAGAGAGCCATATATTGCAATCTGAAACATCCATGCTATACTTAAAATGTAAACAGACTGGGAAAACAGTATCACACTTGGAAATCTGGTGTTGGCTTTAACCACTATGCGAGTACAGTAAATGGCTAACTTGATATTTTTAAGATCTATAAATAAAACAGGTTCCTTTAATTCTACACAGTCATCATATATAAAAGTGGACAATCTGTCAATGCCTTTTTATTATGAAATAGATACCTCTGTATGCTGTCCTTCATGGTCAGAAAAAGACGGTTAACGAAGTTTGCTGCAGTATGGATCCTCAAAGCTAGATGGCACTCACTGGTCCGTTGATAAAGCTGCCCAGGGACGCTGCTTGTTGACCTAATCTTGGAGTCTCCTCAAATTCCCTCTGCTACAGACATGTTGCAGGGAACAGAATGCTCTCCCTTATGGTAATCGTATTATCAAATCTGTGGCTTTTCACATAAGATGCAACACTTGCCTGAGTTCTGTTCATCTTCAGTGGCACGTGGGTACAGCCATGTAAGACTGTCTGGCCATGAAAGAAGCATGAGTGAGACCGTATGAGAACTGGCACTATGTGTTTCTGCCCACCAGAGACCTTTTGAACCAGGCGCCACACAGCGTGTAAACACGGACTGGTACTCAACATGCAGCCAGTTTGTGGTCGCTAGCGGCTTTTCCTCAGTACAGATCGTAAACGTGAAAGGAACGGGTTGAAAATTAGTGCTAATCGAACTTACTGACATGGCCTCTCATACTTGTGGTGTCTTTCAGATCAATGGCTGAAAAACATCAGTCTTCATGATAAGTTTAGTTTGAAATCACCCAGCTGCTGGGTCACATTTGGTGGATGGCCTGGGGACAGCTATCTGCTGAGGCATCTAGCTGCATGAAAAAAGATCCATTTGGACGTGAGTCTGTTAACCTTGTTGTGTTTTTCTGATACACGTGTAGAGCAACACTTTATAATCAGCTGAGTTGAAAGGCCATGCTTACCGTGTGAAATTTGATTTCTGAAAAATGAAGTATGCAGACATTTGCCCTGGTATTTTTGATGGGACCACTCCTTATGTAGTTCACATATGCTTGTAGTTGAAGATGTATACAGAGGAGCTGCCATAAACAGAACATTTTAGGTCTCCAGATTTAGTTATATAGTAGTAACTTTACAGTGTTTCTCAGGATATGATATCATACAAAGCAGAATTTGAATTTGCCCTTGCCTGAAGAAAGTCTGACAGTAGAATTTGTGTAAATAAGGTTTGTTGTATTATGTTTTAATGTAGAACATAGACTCATGTGATCCAACATGGTGGATCATTTTTACCAATGCATAAATTCTAAGTCAGGGCTGAGACACTGCTTTGTTCGTGATTATATGTTTTTGGTCTAATTTTTATGCATTTTATTATACATTTCTTCAATTAACTGGCCAGTAAAACATAGGATTAATATTGCATATCGCTGAATTAGATGCAAATAATGGGTGAAAGTAAAGATTAAAAAATTCCAACAAGTATAAATGGAGTTTAACCCAGCAGAGCAAATTTCTCTGAGTGATTTCTGAGTGATTTCTGAGTGGTGGAGAAGTTCTGCATTTCAGGCCGCATTGCAATAGTTTCCTGTGCTGAGGTATAGGCCACTGACTCAAAGAATGCAAACAAAACCATATGTACAATAAATGCTTCGTCCACCAGCCTGCTGACACCTCCGTTTGTACCCAATCCTGCTGTACGTGTGTGTGGCCTCGTATTTAACCGTACATCGGTAAGGCCATCATCTTGACTTTACAGCAGTGTTACTGACTGTGAACGTCATCAGAATGAAAAAGAGCTGAATGTTCAGACTTGTGTGATATTTCCGCTGGTCAAAAAAAAAAAAAAAAGCTTCTCTTTCCCTTCATCTCAGAGGGGCCAATGTCTCCATGGAGGAGTTCTTAAAAGCGGGACAATAAAACCAGCCACGTGAGGGCAGAGCTCATAGATCATACTGCGAAACAGCACGTAGGCTGAGTGCGTTATGGGCGTGCTCCTCCATCCAGCACTTCACAAGTCTCCCTGGGCCACGCTAATTGATCTCACTCCACACTTGTATGTGCGAAGAGACACAAAACCCGATGCAGTGTGGAACCGGGAGCTGGTAAAATGTCAGAATACTCAAACACGTCAGAACGAATGCACAGCAAGGAAACTCTTTTTTCTCTCACAAACTAACAGCAGCATAAAGTACAGCCCAAAATCCATTAAAGCTCTTGTGTTATTAATCAGAAACATTTTTCAGATTCAGCATCTGCGTCTACAAATAAAAAATGGATGCGGGTGGGAGGCGGATGCACCAATCACAAGAGGAAAATGTCGATCATTTATTTATCTATGAGTCTGTGCCTCATAGACCAAGAGGCCAACCCACGTTCCTCCTTTCACGTCTCCTCTGCATCTTTTGTGAGACAATCTTTTTTTTTTCTTGATTTTTTTCCTTTTTCACTTGATTGAAGTTTACTGAGGTAATAAAATAACCAGGAGACAGATCATGGTTTGATGTCATTCAGCAGAATTGGAGCTGGGAGGAAAATTAAAGCGAGGCTTGCAAAAGTCTCTCATCTGGACAATTCTCTATGTAGTAAAAATATTGAATATATCAAACGGAATACAGGAGGAGGCAGACAATCAATGAAACTACTGTGTGAGCAGTCAGGATGTGTGGGAGTAATGGTCAGGGATCCACTGGGAGGAGGCGGGAGGAGGATTAAGAAAACAGTCCAGAGCTCTGCCCCATACAACCATCACAAAACATCATTATGAAACAAGGTGGGAGGGATACTGAGAAAGAAGGGTAAATACATGCTGTATCAATGGTTTCCCAAATCCTTAAATGGCAGTAGATTAGTAGTTTAGTATTTTAGGACAATCAACATCAGTGTCAAATTTACCTTTACAAACTTCAAGCTCCCGGCCTCTCGCCCGTTGTCAGCTGGGATAGGCTCCAGCCTGACTGTTGGGAAAAGCGTGTAGAAAATGGATGGATGGAAGTTTCAAGCTTTTGAAAGCAAATAACTAATAACTGATCAACTTATTTACTGATCCAATCCAAAGCCACATATTATTCTACATCCATCATTATAAAGGTTTTTGGACAACTAAAAGTGAAATGCTAAAGTTCAAATATATATCAATAAATGAATGTAAAAAAAATTGATATATATAGTATATATATGTGTGTGTGTGTGTGTGTGTGTGTGTGTGTGTGTTCTGGTATTTATCACATCATGGGGACTTCAAACTGTTTACACAGTCACGTCATGGGGACCTCTTGCGCTCTGGGGACAAAAAATCGGGTCCCCATAAGGAAAACCTTTTTAAATCACTCCTGGAGCAGTTATAAGCTGTCTGTGAAGTTTTTAGCTTTGGCCTATAACACATGTTTTTCAGTCAATGTTTGTGTGTGGGGAGTGCTCTCTTGCGCCCCCTATCGTTTTGGGGACAGCAATGCAATCGCTGTTGCGCTTACACACTTTGACCATATATGGTAGGGCACTGCCCACTTCCGAGTACCCATTTGGAAGGATTTTATGAAGAAGTGCATTTTCACTGGAAAGTGCTGGAAAGTTAACCTTTTTGTGTTGTGGAGTGAAACGGAAATGTCAGGTAAGCATATTTGTATATTCCTGCCTTTTTTTCCATTCCAAAAGTAAGGCAATTAGCCACAGGCTACTCGGCTAATCTATTAGCCGAGTAGCCGGCTAATCTATTAGCTAAGTAGCCTGTAGCTAATGTAATTGCATGCATGATACAAGCTAACACCTGACGGTGATAATGAGGGAATGAATGCAATTAGTTTTTTGTTTTTTTCCCGGTTCTGACATGTTTTGCTTAACTTTTATCACAATATGTATGCATGACAGTATTTAGAATAGCAAGAAAAAAAATTAAAAGGAAAAAAATTATGAAATTAAGTCTTTAAATTAGGTAACCAGCGGTTTGTGTGTCTACTAAAACAGCACAGATATATTACTTATAGCCTAATATTAGGCTATAGTTTATTGAGCAAATGCAAATGTGATTTTTATATGATGAATTCACGATTAGTACTGTAGTTAAATTCAAGTAAAGTTACAACATGGTAGTATAGACCTAAGTTCTTCATAGATGAATTTGGAAATGCTGCAATTAAAAACAAATAAGCAACATAATTTTTCGAGTCATCAAATTGCTGTCCTACAAACCACAATTTTGTGGTAACTTCCTCTGTTGTGCTTTTAATTTGAAAGTGCGCCGGAAGTCCTATTGCCGTTAATGTAATTTAACTTTGTCTCCCTTCAGTGGTGGTGAGTTTGTGATAGTACACTAAATTTCGGGGGTAACTGTGCAAGTCTTGTCACTTTTCTGCCATTTTGCTCAACAAATGATAAGCCATTACTCTGTTTTTTAAGTGTCTAGTCATAGTTATTGAGCTGATGACTTTACAGAATGAGCAGTGCAGACAAATTTGTTTATTTTATCTGCAGATTAAGATGCCACCACGGATCACCCCCCTCAATGATGCCATTCAGCATATCATTTCAAAAAGAGACAAAACATTCAAATTGGAGGTGAAATACATAGATGCTGTAAAAGGTATGGTAGTGATTCAACTGTTGTTGTTATCATCATCATCATCATTATTATTATTATTATTATTATATAACAACTAATGCAAAAAGTAAGGGACACAAAGTAGGAACTTTATTACCGTTATATCAGATGAGCCTCCATCTACTGACAACTCTTTTTAAGATACTTTTTTTCTGAATTGCCGTCCTTTGTGTAATGTAGATTGAATGGGTTTTCCAGGTTTTGTTCAGATTATTTTATTGTCTGTTACAGGACGCGGCATATTTGCAAAGAGTTCAATTTCCAAGGGTGAATTTGTGGTTGAGTATAAAGGGGATATGATAAATGATGCAGAGTCCCAGAGAAGAAAAAAACTCTACCACTCGTCATGTCTTGCCTTCATGTTCGCGTTCAAGTGGAAAGGAAAATTATGGTGGTGAGACTACACTATTTACTGTAATATATAGCACTATAAAGGGGCTTAAATGTTGTGGTGATGTATCTCATCATCTCTGTTTCCATCTTTCCTTCAGTATTGATGCCTCAAGAGATGACGGATCATTTGGGAGGCTAATAAATGACGAACATAGACGGCCAAACTGTAGAATGAAAAAAATCGATGTCAATGGAAACCCGCACCTTTGTCTGTTTGCATTAAATGACATTAAAGAAGGAGAGGAAATTACTTATGATTATGGAGGGGAAGACTGTCCTTGGAGAACAAAAGTAAGTTAAACAGTACACAGAATGATTCATGATGCAGAGTGAATGTGTGTGCCTTATATGTCAGGGTTCCTTCCAGGATCAGATGCATGTCTGGTGTATCTAATGCTCTACTGTATTA